TGAGAGAGCTCGGAGAGAACTTGTGACTGACCCAAGGTCACCCAGCTGGCTGCATGTGGAGGAGTGGGGAATCAAACCCGGTTCTCCAGATTAGAGTTCCGCGCACCTAACCACGACACCAAACTGGCTCTCTAGATGATAGAGAGAGATGATAGATGCAGAGGAGAGCGATGAAGATGATTTGGGGGGGGGGCCCTGGAGACCAAGCCCTAGGAGGAAAGGACTTGGGAATGTGCAGTCTGGCGAAGAGGAGGCTGAGGTTTGCTCTCTTGAAGTACCTGAAGGGCTGTCGCTTAGAGGAGGAGGGCAGGGAGCTGTTCCTCTTGGCAGCAGAGGAGAGGACTCGCAAGAATGGGTTTAAATGAAGGGCGGGGGGATATTAGGGGAAACCAGCTGGATACTAGAGGAAATGTTTTTACGGTAAGAGTCGTGCAACAGCGGAAAGAGCTACATAAGGAGGTGGTGAGCTCCCCCGCCCCGGCCGTCTTCAAGCAGCTGCCGGACAAACACTTGTCAAGGACGCTCCAGGGGCTGATCCTGCCTTGAGCAGGGGGCTGGACCAGAGGGCCCTTTCTAACTCTGGGATTCTACGACAGAGAGGGACAGATGATCGATAGTAGATAGACGACAGCTAGGTGACAGAAAGGCAGACAGACGATGCCTCCCCACCCTACCGTCCAAGCGGCCTTGCAAATCACTCACAACACAGCAGAGATTCAAACTCAACCTGCACTGTAAGATTTGCAACTTCCGCAGCGGCAAACTAGGATACTCGGGGGCCTATTCAGAACCCAAGAACAAAGGTGAGCCATCTGTTTGCCTTGGGTTTTTACCGTTCCCTGCATGTCCAGACCGGTTGGACATCTTTCCCCACGATTTGTGTTCTCCATAAAAAGCCGGGACGCCAGCCCTCACCAGTGAGAACACGAGACAAGGGAGGGGCGGTGGTTATTTCCGGGGAACAAAAGGATGAGATCCTGCACGCGCCCTGCCCCGGACGGCCCAGGCTAACCCCGTCTCGTCAGCTCTCAGGAAGCCAAGCAGGGTCGGCCCGGGTGAGCACTTGGATGGGAGACCACCAAGGACGCCCACGGTGGCTACGCAGAAGCAGGCAAGGGCAAATCACCCCTGTTCGTCTCTTGCCCCGACCTGGAGGGTCCAGGGCAGCGTTCCCTCTAAGCTGAATTGGTGTGAGCCAGCTCAGAGTTTGTTAGCCTCCGGCACATGCATTTTTGTCTGAGCTCAGAAAGGAGGGCTCCAGAGCAGTGTTCCCTCTAAGCTGAGCTGGTGTGAGCCAGCTCACAGTTTGTTAGCCTCTGGCTCATGCATTTTTGTCTGAGCTCAGGAAGGAGGGTCCAGAGCAGCGTTCCCTCTAAGCTGAGTTGGTGTAAGCCAGCTCACAGTTTGTTAGCCTCCGGCCCACGCATTTTTGTCTGAGCTCAGGAAGGAGGGCTCCAGGGCAGCGTTCCCTCTAAGCTGAGCTGGTGTGAGCCAGCTCACAGTTCTTTAGCCTCCGGCTCACACTTTTTGTCTGAGCTCGGGAAGGATGACTCCAGGGCAGCGTTCCCTCTAAGCTGAGCTGGTGTGAGCCAGCTCACAGTTCTTTAGCCTCCGGCTCACACAGTTTTGTCTCAGCTCAGGAATGAGGGCTCCAGAGCAAACTAGTTCATGCAGGAGCCAAATCGCTCGCTCACAACTTTAATGCCAGCAGCTCACAAAGTAGAATGTTTGCCTACAAGACTCCACAGCTTAGAGGGAGCATTGCACATAATACTGTGTTACCAATGCAGCCTGTTGTCTAGCTATCCCATTACAGCAGAAGTGAGCAAATTCTGGTGCCCTTCGGGCTTTCGTCAGCTGTTAATTAGTGACTAAGTAAATAATGCATGCTGCAACACAAAAAATGCATTATCGCAAGGGAATTCTGATTTTTTTTCCTCTTTCAAGAGGTTAAAACACGTTTTACAAAAACATCATTCAAATATTAACAGAAATATGAGAGGTCATGTACTTTCACTGAACATTCATTTTTCGAACAGACATTCAAGTGGCAAAGAGGAAGGATGGATGAAGGAGGTGCTTTTACTTAGGGGTAGACCTGACGGCATGCGCAGAGCATCTGAATAATAATGAGTTCAGGATGCTGTATAGGAGCTATATACAGTGGCTTTATTTACAGTTATATACATTAGTCCATGCCACCATGCGGTATCCCAGATTCACAGAACTGACC